AGCCTTTTTGTAGTCCTCATCGACGTTACGCGACGCCGAGACCGCCGACCAGCGGGTATTCTTGGCCGGCCAGCGATTTTTACCGCGGTCGTCATCAGCAGGGGCAGCTGCGGGTGCAGGTGAAGAGGCCTCGGCCTCGGGAGCCGTAGTCTTGGCCTTCTTGCTGGCACCGGACGCCGCTCCGGTTGAGCGTCTTTTAGGAGGCATTATGGGGTTGTCTTGGGGCACGGATGAATGTGTAAGTGAGTCTCACAGGGACTAGCTATTTCACTAGGTGGGAAACAAGAAGCAAAAGAGCTTCAGCTATGGCACTGTGAACGACGAGCCGTTTTTTTTGAGAACCGTAGAACTTCCATGTGGGGTAGAGCCACTGATGAATGTCACTATCGAAAGTCAAAAAGTTGCAGAGCTATGAGTTCTTTGCGTTTCCATCCGACGACGCGCGCAGAACGCGTTTGAGCTTGCCCAATTATGACGAATGTTGATCTGGGCCGTGGAACCATCCATCCCTGGACGCGTCGAATCATGTGACACCCGGACAGATCGAGATACCGTTTCTTTTCTTTTTGTACCGTCTATGCTGTCCGGAGTACAGCCAAGGTCCAGGAAGATCAAAAGGTCTTCCATATCTGATAAGAAGGTCTGAGAAGCGTCATAATATTGCCAGCCGTGCGGGTAAAAGTCCGGCTTGCTTCGGGATTACGATAGGGGCTGCCGATATTCAATGCAGCTGGCCGCTTCTTCCCTTTAAGCCCGGCAGGGGTACAGTTGGAAAGGATGCGGGCACGACATAGTAGCTTTGAACAGATGCTAGCAATTTCAAGAGAATGATATATGTCATGGAACTTGCCAGGGCCTATTTGAGGATGACCGAACAGAATGTCTTGCTACGTTGATGGCTTCTCAGTGCTTGATACTCGTCCGCCGTGGCCAAGAGACTGCGACTAAGGGCACCTCATGGCCAGGAACATGACCTCTTCACTCTCGGCACAGAGAACCACTGTCTCGACCCCAACCTTGCAGACAGATGCGTAAAATGACCATTGGTTGCAGCGGCCTGCGCAATGCCGAAAATGTCAACGGCTAGCGAGCAGCCTCACGAGCCCTGCTAGCTGTTTCCGCAGAATTCAATGAATTCCCTGAAACCTACTGGTTGAGTTGTTGTACATTGGCTTCATATTGATACATATTGAACACTACCTCTCGCGGAGGCTCTAATGTTGGAGTCTTTCTTCAATCCGGCTTAGGCCATGCCCAACCTTGGCCACACCATCCCTGAGAACTCTGTCTGGGACAATCGTGCCCTTCTCTCCTCATCTGCAGCAATGTCGTCTGGTCCTTTCCACGGTTCTCGGTAGCTCTATCCTCCCACGTTACATTCAAACACCGAGCTTCGTGCGGCCCTTCTGGCGCCTCCGTGCAATGATCTTGCGTCCGTCCTTGGTCTTCATGCGGGAAACAAAGCCGTGTCTGCGCTTCTGGATCAGGCGGGTGTTGCGGTTCATGGTGTTGCGAGGACCGCAGCGGAGCTGCATGGCGCCCAGAGCAGGGTGCTCGGTGATGGCGCTCGTGGGGACCAAGTCGGCAATGGCGCCATCGACGGTCGAGGGAGTGAACGGCGTGGCATTCGGCCGGCGGAAGGCGGATGTGAGAGGTGTGATGGACGGACGCAGCGAGGGGAGGGAGGAGAACGTCCTATGGTGCCGGTTAGTTACTATCTTCACCTCTACTGCTAAGGGGTTGAGGCACACCTTTGTGATGTCGATTGAATGACGACGCGCACCGGCTGGGTAGCCGGGCGGGCGAGGAAAGCTCTCGCCAGGCCTGTGATGGATTGGCGCATCATCTTGGCGGCAATTGTATGGTTGTCGTCGAGCGGCGTGGAGCTCAAAGTGACACCATCGACAGCTTCGAGATTTTGCGGGAAGACTTTCCTGCAATCCAACGGCAGTTCCCGTCGCTCATGCATCAAACGGGGTTCCACCGTTCGGACGGGGCTTTCGTCTGCACGCAAGACATTGCATGAGGCGGGTGTTTCAGCCAATTAAAGTTGGGGTAAGCTTGAGTCCTCGCAGCCAATGATCGACCCTGCCGGCAGCCGCAGGCCCCGAACCGCACCAGCCCGCCCCCACTTGGTCCCATTCGCCGGCTCACTGTGGACAGCTTGCCTGAGCTACCAATACTCCGTACCCAACCACGAGCTGTCAGACCCAGCTTGCGACGAGGTCCGGAGCCTGCTTCTTTTCATCTCCAATCCCATATATTCCATTCTTGTCCCTCCTTTGCAACCCCTCCGGAATCCGAAGAAAAGCAAAGATAGGCCAACATGGATTTCCTTCAACGCCTCGCGCGGTTCTTGGACCGACCCCTCTTCCCGTGGAAGCGCCTCATCCTCGGCTTCTCGGTTGGCCAGTTCGTCTTTGAGAGCTTCCTCTCGCTCCGCCAGTACCAGGTCCTCAAAAACACCAAGCCCCCCAAGGTTCTCGAACAGGAAGTCTCCCAGGAAGTTTTCGACAAGTCTCAGGCTTACGGTCGCGCCAAAGCGGAATTCGGTTTCATCAGCGGTCTCTGGGGTCAGATCCAGAACATTGCCTTTATCCAATTCGACGTCCTCCCCAAGCTCTGGTCATGGTCCGGTCACCTGCTGCTGAAGTTCGCGCCGGCGCGCTTCACCGGCGAGATATCTCAGTCCATCGTCTTCGTCCTCGCCTTCATCATGATCCAGCAGGTCCTCTCGCTGCCTAGCTCCATCTACCAGACCTTTGTGCTGGAGGAGAAGTTTGGCTTCAACAAGCAGACGCCCAAGCTCTTCATCACCGACATGATCAAGTCTCAGCTCCTCGCCTTTGTCCTCGCTCCCCCGATCCTCGCCGGTTTCCTCTCCATTGTCAAGAAGACGGGCAACCAGTTCTTCTTCTACCTCTGGGCGTTTGCGGCTGGTCTCCAAGTCTTCATGATCACAATCTACCCTGTCGCCATCCTGCCCCTGTTCAACAAGCTGTCGCCTTTGGAAGAGGGCGAGTTGAAGAACGGCGTCGAGAGCCTTGCCAAGAGCCTGAACTTCCCCCTCCACGAGCTCTATGTGATTGACGGAAGCAAGCGCAGCGCCCACAGCAACGCCTACTTTTTCGGTCTCCCCTGGAAGAAGCACATTGTCATCTACGACACCCTCATCGAGAAGAGCGAGACGCAGGAGGTTGTTGCCGTTCTGGCTCACGAGCTTGGTCACTGGAGTCTCGGCCACACCACGCGCCTCTTTGGCATCTCTCAGGTATGTCTCTGCAGTCCACCGGCGCAACAGCATTCACTAACAGCGATAGGCCCACTTCCTGTACATCTTTGCCCTCTTCTCCGTCTTCATCAGCAACAACTCCCTGTACGCCGACTTTGGCTTCCTCACGGAGCACCCCATCATCATCGGCTTCATCCTCTTCTCCGATGCGCTCTCCCCCATGGACACCGTTGTCAAGCTGCTCATGAACATCCTGAGCCGCAAGTACGAGTTCCAGGCCGACGCGTTTGCCCAGAAGCTCGGATACTCTGCTGAGCTGGCTAGATCCCTCCTCAAGCTCCAGATCCAGAACCTCAGCTCCATGGACGCCGACTGGATGTACGCGACCTACCACTTCTCCCACCCGCACCTGTCGGAGCGCCTCAATGCGCTCAACTGGAAGTCTACGGGCAAGGTCACATCGGAGGAGCCCACCGTGGGCAAGACCTCTGGAAGAGACGAGTTGTAAAGGGGAAGTTAGCTGATTAGAGTGCTTGCGTCTTTCAAGAGCATTTTCGGGGTTCACACTCCGCAGACATATTTGTATTACTACTAGGTCACCCAACGAACCGGCAGGTGACTCGTCGGGTCGAGAAAGCGGATGGAATAAATCGTTTTACGCAGTGAAAGCAAACTGCAAGTTTCCGTCCCACCAGCTCATCGCCTCGGGGCTCTCATGTTGGCCAGCACGCGTGCCAATAGCTCCTCTCTCGTGTCGTTGTCCTGCGGAAACAGGTTTCGCTATGTTACATGTAAGTACACAATGACGGAGACGGAGAAGAGAGCTGCAAATACCGCCGCAAGCCACCTCCTCATCTCCTCTCTGGTCCAGTCCTCGGGGCTGCCTGTGGGATCCGGCCCCGCGGGGAACATGTCGCCGCCGTAGATGGCCCATACGGCTACGGCTGTGACCAAGCCGCCGAATGCTAGTGAATGGTCAGCACTTGGGTCTTTGTGTGCGATTGTATGTTGCTTTACCGAGTACGGCATTCTAAGAAAGTATTAGCAGAGCAACTAAATGCAATCATGGTGGCAGATACGGACCCTGGATCTCATGGCATTGTCTAGTGGTGTAGGCATCGTGTGTAGATGTGGCGGTGCAGCGACAGTATGTCTTGTGCAACTAATGACCGGAACCTCAGGTTTTCAACGCGGCGAATAGGAGCAGAAAGAGCACCGATTATAAGGTATGCGAAAAGCTCAGAGGACACCTTTGGTAACGTGTTATGCGACGTGTTCGTTTATAGACTGGTTTGAGTTGAAGCGTCGTCAACCCATGCGCAAGGAAAGGTGCAGGCCGAGGGTCTGGTCCAGCGCCACGTCTACCCCGAGAGCTTTCGGGGCGTGTGACGCGTGCCACAGTGACGTCCCATCTGAAATGGTGTGGTGCTGCTGCCTGTGGCTGTGGAGGAACCTGGGAATCCGTGGGACCCGACGGGACCCGACTCCGCTCCTCGGTGTGGTCGGTGACAGACCCCCCGGGCAGGCGACCTGTTCCAGCCCGCCCCGATAAGATAAGGTCGAACCTCGCAAGATGCATCGAGTCCCTCTCTCTCCCCGGCCGAGTACTCGAGCTGGTCCGTGCATTTCGCTGCCGCAGGGGTCCATCCCACAAAATCAATTTTCCATCCAAAAAAGCCCACGAAAGTCTCACGACAGCAACCACTCAATCCGACCAGACAAGACCCCCTTCGTTGTCGCCAATACCCCCCCGAAAAATACCGCCAAGATGCCTCGCGAAATCGGTGATATCAAGCAGGTACGTTGCAGCGCTGTTGAATTATTGTTCTTGTATATTTTACCGGGAGAAAATCGACTAACAATTGCTGTTTCTGTAGTTCATTGAGATTGCCCGGAGAAAGGACGCTTCCTGTATGCCATGATCTGATTCCCTTCCTCCCACTACCACGCACCCGACGAAGCCTCGAACGACTAGAAGAGAAACTTCGAATCTCGGACAAGAGAAAGATCCAGAAAAGGAACAGCATTTTCTAACGTGTACTTGAATCATAGCCGCCCGCATCAAGAAGAGCACCAAGAACTCCCAGATCAAGTTCAAGGTCCGCTGCCAGCGCCACCTCTACACCCTCGTCCTCAAGGACTCCGACAAGGCCGAGAAGCTCAAGCAGTCCCTCCCCCCTCGTACGTTTTGAACCCTCTTTCTAGATCATCCCTCGGCGCAGTTCTACCCCTCGAATTTCCCTTTCGGAAAAAAAAAAAGACCTCGTACGCAGTCGAGGAACACGGAAAGGAGAAAATGCAGACGGGGGGATAACCACGAATCGATTAAACTGTCGCTAACCACCATTTCCCTGCAGAGCTCCAGATCAAGGACGTCCCCAAGAAGAACCCCAAGGGCAAGTCCTCCGCATAAGGGATTCCCGTAAAAAAACGTCTCGAAACAAAAATCGTCAAAAGGAAAACTTTGAGCTTCGATGGGGATATAAAAGCATGAGTACGGATAGCCTGTCATGAGGTCAATGGAATGAATTTTTGACTCGTTCCCCCACCTGGGTTCTGTGTTTTTTCGTGGGGCTATTGGCCGGTCGGTCTAATTGGGGGAAAATGAGGTTTTGAAAAGCGTAGTGTTTTGTTTTCTCTCGGTTCTGTACCTTGAATGGTACGGGAACGGCGAAGGCAACCTGCGTCACCACATAACATGGCGTCGAGGAATATCACCTAGGCAATTTGCGAGATGAGATGGAGACTGTGCCAACGTTTGTTGCTAGTCAGACATTTCCCGCCAACGAAGAAACCATTGAACACAAAAAACTGCCACCGCCCGTGCCCCTCTTCTCTGACGGTCCTCTTGCAAACCGGACAGTGCTAGCAACACTCTTGGAGGCCGTCTACCATCTAAACGCCAAAGGCTCCGTGTCTCTGGTCTATCGACGTCCGTACCATCATAGCCCCCTCACATGAGCCGCTTGTAGTGCCAAATGTCTGTCCCCGTCACAAACTCCTGAATGCCAGCCCATTCCTTGAACCCCTCGTGCTCCGCGATCGCCTTGTGCTGTTCCACCGTCTCCCAGCCGCAGTACATGACATACTCCTCGAGGTCCTCGGCGGCTTTCTCAATTCGCCAGCCGCCGCGGACGGGAAACGGCTTCGACGACTCCTCGACAACCCACTTGGCCTCGGCGTACTTTTTGACAAACTCCTCCCTCTTATCCGACTTCACCCCGAACCGCCCGACGCTGAGCACCGGCGCCGTCAGGAGGGATGGCGGCTCGTCTTGCGCCTTCCTTTTGCCCTCTGCCTTGCTCTCTTCCTCGGGTACCGGCGCTTCCGGCTGCTTGCCCTTGGAGTCCATCTCCGCTTCTGCAGCCGCCTCATTCGTCTCTGACGGTGCTGATGCAGGCTTTGCAAAGATGGGCGCGTCAATGTGAAAGAATAGCACGCTTCGCGGACCCTCGATGTGAATATGTGGCATCAGCTTGGCCATGACGTTCTGGTTTTCGGGTGACGCGATCCACTCCCCATGCGCCTGCGGCGAATCCCACTGCGCCGCCAGGAGTATTACGGTCGGGTCCTCGACCTGCTGGAGGATGGCGGTGCCGCGCTCTATCCGGGTCGGCGGCAGGCCGGGCTTCTGGCGCAGAACCCAGGTGTCCTGGACGGTCTGGCAGTAGTCCATGAGCTCCTTGACCTCCTCGGTGAGGGGCTCCTTGAATTGGAGAAGAGCGAGCTCCGTGACGGCCATCGCTGCGAGCTTGTTCGATTTTGACGGAGAGGGCGAGTTCGCTTTCTTCTGCAGACAGAGATATCAAGTTGAAGACGGCAATTCCGGGGTTCGCGGGGTCAGCGGGAAGCTCTTCGCGCGGGGTTCGGTGCGGGCCGGGGGATAGTACAAAGGTACTTTGGAGCTTTGGGTATAAAGATACAAGGGATAGCCCCTCTCTGCTCGAGATGATGTCTCGGGAAGAATCTCAGGCCTTGCCAAAGTCTTTGTGTTTTCGATTCGCTCAAGTCAACATCGGAGCATCCGAGGAGATAATGGAGTATGAAGTCCACTTGGCGGGGCAGTGAGGCTGCAGGATGATACCGATGCGGGACGAGTGACGCTGACGCCCGGCGAGGAGCGGCACAGACACGACGGTCCTAGGTTAGTGTAGGAGCCGGTAGCTCAGTGATAGGCTCAATTGTGTGACAGCCTAAAGCTGATATACATTGTTCTTCCGTCTGAAGAGGCCAAGCAAGCTTGAACTTCCCCTCAATGCTTTGGCTCTGCTGGACGTTTACCCCGCCGTTGCAGTATTTCCCCGTGGATTATACTTTTGCCCGTTGTGTCCCAAGTCTTTGATAGCTCTACGCAAGGTTGCAAGCCGTTACTTGAGCTAAATTGTAATACGAAAAAGTCGGCTCTCCGGGCACGTTGATGTGGCACTGGCTAAGCCGGCATCTCGTGGCTAATTCGGAACGTCCACCTAGATCTAAGTGCATTGAAGTTCTCGTTTCTGCGCCATCTCTGAGATCTAACGATCGCAGAATAGAGGCTGTCTATGGGCCTAAGGGTGATATGCTTGACGATGCTCCATGCTAAATCATTTGAAGCGGCGTGTTTCCTTAGTAGATGCTATCGGAAACGCAACATGCAGCCGTGATTATTGAGATTGCGCGCCTGGACCATTAGCAAGACGAGAACATCATCGGCCTCTGTTCCTGCCAAGCGTTTGCTTGTCTCGACCTATCGTGCTGGGCGATCGACAAATCTCCTTAGGCGAAGAGACAGACCCGCAAATGCACTGCGCAGCCTGCGCCTCGGTGGTCAAGCTGAGAGCTCCCCGGCACGCCCGGCGAGGGATCTAACGGCAAGGTATCGATAAGCCAACCTTCGTGTTCGCGGCATCCACTGGCTGCCGGTAAGCGTCCATGTCTGGCGGAAAACGGTGCTCCAGGCACGGCCGCCGCTGCATTTCCCAACGAGCCTCACGAGAGCTGGCATTGAGACAGTTGCCTGAGCCTTTTCGTTATGATGCGGCGATGCAGCCCGTTTCTCAATCCAAGACACGGAGCTGCCAAACGGTGAAGGTGTCACAAATTGGAGAGACAGGAGGGCTTTGGTTGACGGGTTGTCGTAGCCCTTGGCGCCTGTTCTCCCTTTCCCCCGATACTGGAACTGCTGTGATACCTCACCGCCTCGAGTCTTGGTTCTTTCTCTGTGTCATCCACGATGCAATCTCTTTGTTATTGGCTGGTCGTGGCTGGGTCAACGCATGTCGAGTCCGTGATCGGTGGTGTTGGTCGCATCGGACTGCCCATGTTGGTCGGAGGCTCTCGGCCGGGGTGAACTGCCTATGCGGACGCCCTTTGAGCAGATCGGTGCTACCACAGCCCCTACCACGAACGAGTAGAGGCATCAGACGAAACGACGCTCGATCGCCATGATGGCGACATGACATGATTGGCGATTTAGGGGTCGTCGTTGAATGGTCTGGCACTTCTGGGCTATTCTGCCGTCGTAATGTCCCAGCCACGCCGCAACTCAAAGCTTCTCGGCGGTGGCTTGGAGACGCCCATAGCTGTCGTCTGCAAGCCTGATTTGCGTGTGGTGCTGTTGGCGACTGCTGGTGTTGAACCGCAAGGCTTGTTGCTTCGCATCGCTTTTGATGGAAGACATAGTTGATACTCCGTACTCCATACAATTCTGGGCAATAGAGGTACCATGCAGCCGGTCAGCATCGAATCGAAGCCTTGAAAGGAAGTCGATTCAGCTGCGGTTTGGAACCAGTGAGGTAGCAGCTCAAGAGCTCCGAGCCGTCAGCTTCGCATGCGAAACGACAGTCTCGAGCAGCCGGGCGTTGGATGTGGCGCTGTCAAAGGCTGCTGTTCCCAACTTGGTGTGTTCAAGTCGTGTCCCCCACCATCAGGGCTGTGCAGGAGACAGAATGTATCGTGGTGGTAAGAAGTGCCCATGGAAGGGAGCTTGAGGTGCCATCGACGAAGTACCACAAGTACCACAAGTACCACAAGTACCACAGGTGACAGAGCTAGTGCAAGGTGAGAAGCAGGTCGCCATTGATGGCCGCCCTCCTTCCAGCGTTCCACGGATTCCACCTGCAGCAACCCCTGTCAAGGCAATCGGGTGCTTGCCGGGAAACTGCCCACCAGGCCGGGAACATGTTCAGTCATCAGGGGATAGACGAGAGAGCGAGCCAATGGAGGAGCACCGCCGTCATGTTGGCACGGCGAGGTGCTGCGAGAAAGCAAGGTACCAAGTAATATAGGCCATTCGACGGCATGTTCCCTGACTGTGTTGTGTTGGACCCCAGGTAACATTATTGATGACAAGTAAGCGTAATGACTGCCAGGCATCATCGTCAGAAACCTACACAGTAACTATCACGCACTCCAGCAGCATAGCCCTTACCTGACCATGTGAGACTAGCAGCCTACCAAGTACATACGTTTCGAGGACATCATTGTGCTTCTCCCGGAGCTGCGTTTCGTCCCAAGTCCCAACAAGACCTGCATGGCGCATTTGGCCCAATGAGCCACCAGGTGCCTACCTAGACATGGGCGTGGGCTTCCATTACTACGTAGTTCCATCGAATCGACCCGTGGAGCTTCCAAAAGATTTTCTTGTGGCTGGACAACCAACCGCCACGGCATCTGGAAACATTCCACCCCCGGACTGGGACCCCCGTTCTCCCGCATGGCATCCAAATCAAGTCTCAATTGCGATACCGTCTTCTCTCTGTCCATTCTTCCCAAGCATGAGGGAGACCGTGAGCCCTAGAGCGGGTGCCCAGGCATTCTAACGGAGCACATCTGAATCAACCACACCCCCAAGTCTCCGTCTGTCATGATACAGTTTTCTCGCCAAGTAGTTGCCATCCATCACGAAGAAAGTATCCCATAGCCACGCTACCTTGCCTGCCCTTACAGACCACCTTACAGGCTTACCCCTTTGGTGATCGTCTTTCCCCATGTTTCCTGTCTAATACCTAATGACGGACCCAGCTTCTTCGCTCCGTGACCCGTCGAGTCTCCTTGTCCTTGTCCATGTCGAGCTCCAGCAGCTGCGCAACCACGTTGTCCAATTTGCGGCTTGCCCATCCACCACCCCCCGGAACCTGGGAAAGCTAAATTGCCTAACTGAATCCAGCGTCCCATTCTCTCGTCCTCTAATAAAAGTCCTTGGATTACTGTATTACCAACGAGCTAGGCCACTCCTTCTCAACTTCTCCTGGAGTTCTGCATCCATCCTCCCGTCTCTTCTCTCACTACTCACGCGCGCCGCTCATCGTCACCCGCTTCCGCTTCCGCCTCTCTTCTCTCGCACTCTCTCCCAACAACTTTTTTTCTGCTTCACCACCCTCTCTCGCTCGCTCTGCCTCTCGCTCTCCACCACTTGCGCCAGCACCCACCTACCTCGTCAAGCCTTCTATCACGACCCATCTTGCAGCTGTCGTCTCGTTCGCTCCGCTACCACTACTACCCACCAATTGACCCCTCACAGCACCACCCATTCGGCACCCCCTAGACGACCCTGACAGTTGGGCTACCTATGCGCTGCCTCTAGTACGGCTCTCGAACAAACACACGATACCGACGACCTCCTTTTGCCCCTTCGCATACCTTGGCTTCTACCTCCTTGCACCACCGAGCAACGCGTCACATGGCTGTCTTTGCTCCAGAAACGCGAAACGGGGCTGACAGCATTGCCATCAATGGCATACCACCCGCCGCCTATGTAAATGGCAACGGCAACCTGGCGCATCGCCTCAAAATGGAACGCAAACAGTCCTCGCCCATGATGCCGGCCTTCATGGTCTCGGCACCAGGAAAAGTCATCGTTTTTGGAGAGCACGCCGTCGTTCACGGCAAGGTACGTTTGCGCCCCAAACCCCCTTTTTCCCCTCCATCAATTTGGCCCATAATCTGACTGACCCACGTTGAACCAACAGGCCGCAATCGCCGCTGCCATCTCTTTGCGATCATACCTCCTCGTCACCTCCCTCTCCAAGTCGAGGAGAACAGTCTCGCTTCGTTTCCCAGATATCGACCTGCAACACACATGGAATATCGACGACCTGCCGTGGGCTACCTTCCAGCACCCTTCAAAGAAGAAGTCCTACTACGACCTTGTGACGGAGCTTGACCCGGACCTGGTTGCAGCCATCCAACCAAACCTTGCAGAAATATCACCGCACAAGTCTGACCAAGTACGAAAAGTGCACCAAAACTCGGCCTCGGCCTTCCTGTACATCTTCCTATCGCTTGGCCACCAGTCTTTCACAGGATGCCTCTACACTCTTCGGTCAACGATTCCTATTGGCGCTGGTCTGGGCAGCAGTGCGTCCATCGCCGTCTGCCTGGCAGCGGCTCTTCTCCTGCAGCTGCGCACGCTGTCAGGCCCACACCCGGATCAGCCCCCTGACGAGGCTAGGTTGCAAGTGGAGAGAATCAACCGGTGGGCGTTTGTCTGCGAGATGTGCATACACGGCAACCCTTCAGGCGTCGACAACACCGTTTCAACCCAAGGCAAGGCTGTGGTCTTCCAGCGGACGAATTACAGCAAACCCCCGGCCGTGCGACCTCTCTGGGACTTCCCCGAGCTCCCCCTTCTCCTCGTCGACACGAGGCAGGCCAAGTCGACGGCATTCGAAGTGGCCAAGGTCGGCAAGCTCAAGAAGACACATCCGGAGCTGGTTGGCAGTATCCTGGACGCCATTGACAAGGTCACGGTTGCGGCAGACACTCTGATTGGAAATGAAACATTTGACAACGAGGAGGAAGAAAGTCTACGGAAGGTGGGAGAGCTGATGACGATCAATCACGGATTGCTCGTCTCTTTGGGGGTGTCCCACCCGCGTCTGGAGCGGATAAGAGAGCTGGTGGATCACGAAGGCATTGGATGGACGAAGCTGACTGGCGCTGGCGGCGGCGGTTGCTCCATCACTTTGCTGAAGCCCGATGTGCCCAAGGACAAGCTTAACAGGCTGGAATCTCAACTGGAAGACGAAGGCTACGAAAAATTCGAAACAACCCTGGGCGGTGACGGCGTTGGCGTGCTCTGGCCAGCAGTACTCAAGAACGGAATGGACGAAGACAATGAAGGAGGCATGGAAATCGACCAAGAGAGTTTCCTGAACGCCGACGGCAACGAGGGTGTCGAGAAGCTGGTGGGCGTTCACGGGGGCGTAGGCGAGCGAGAAGGCTGGAAGTTCTGGCGCGTCGAGAGCCATTGATGAGGTTGCGACAAGCTTCAATCTGCTTCTTAACTAACCTTTTTCTAACCGGCCTTGCCATGGTGCAAGGCAGACAAGATTTACTGGCTACATTGGGTTATTTGCCATACGACATGATAATATGAGGAGGAGAAGGGAACAGCTTTGGGTGCGGCTTCATGTATCTATTTTTAATCGGCGCTGAGAGCTTAGAAGTCCACCTTGCGGTGCTAAAATTAATGCTTTGTTGATTGACGCTGTCGTCTGAGGGATGCATCCTCAATTGCCAGTGTCTTGGATTTGGCGGTACCTTTTCCAACTGAAGCATGTCTTGGGAGAAATCCGGTGTCGAAAAATCCAGGGGGCATCTTCCCGTGGTGGGGTAGCGGCCGTTGGAGAGCATTTTCCACAGCCCAAAGACAGACAGTCTGATCTCGGCTGGCCCAGCTCAACCCCGCCATAACCCAAAGCCAACCGCAGACATGCCCGCCAAATCAAAGGTCAGCTCCAAAGCCAAGGAAGCTGAGAGCAAGAGTACGTTGGCATCAGCCGTGTTCCTGGTGGTCGGATCATACAGCTCCTCTCTCTGGACCCTCATCGTCGCTCACTACCTCTGGTTCCGAGCTTTCTTCCTCCCGCATGCTGACTTAGGCTCTCCCAACGCAGGCAAGCAAACACCGTCATCATCCACCGCCGCCGCAGCCCAAGAACCACCAAAGACGGTCAACGAGCGCTCCCTCCACCGCTTCTACCAGACGAACCCGCACGAGCGAAAGCGAGAGGAGGCCGGCGTGCTCCACAGCCTGACACCCGCGGAGCGACAGGCCTGGGTCAACGCGAGCCTCGTACGCCGCGTAGCGAGCAAGGAGATTTGCCTCAACAACAAGGCGGAGCGCGAGTTCTGGAAGCAGGTCAACCGCGAGAGCCCGCCCATCCGCCGCCTCGACCGGCAAAAGACGACGCGGGCCGAAAAAGGTAGTGGTACCGCCGCCGTCTACGACTGGGGCAGGGACAAGAACGGCCGCGACGTGGGCGAGTACCCCCTCGAGCAGTTCGCCGCGCGCGCCGCCAAGCAGGCCCAGCTTACCGCGCTCGAGATCCTGCACAGGCGGTTCCTTCAACGGAGGGAGTTTGCGAGCGCCGGAGTCGCGGACGCCGCGACGGGCAAGATCGAGGAGATTACGAAAGAGGATATCCAGGAGGAGACGCAGAGACGGAGGGAGATGTCGGCCATTAGGAAGGAACTTTACGGCGACAAAATGGGGCCGTACGCAACGGACCCGGAGTGGGACGACGTCATGCCGATTCCTGCAGAGGAGCCCGAGGGGGCGCTGGCTACGATTGCTTATCCGGAGGACTACGCCGAGGGTAAATAATTCAAGTCTTTTATGTCTGAAAGTTTGACTGTAAGCTGCTGGTATGTTGGGCACTGACACCGTGCGTCTAGTCATGAGCTACCTACGCGCCGTCATGGTATCCGAGGAATACAGCCCACGATGCCTCCGCCTCACGGAGCACGTCATCTCCATGAACCCGGCGCACTACACCGTCTGGCTGTACCGATTCAAGATCGTCCGGGCCCTCGAGACGCCGCTCGCCGACGAGATCGAGTGGCTCAACGAGGTCTCGCTCGAGCACATCAAGAACTACCAGATCTGGCACCACCGGCAGCTGCTGCTGGACCACTACTACGAGGGCATCAAGGCGACGCCGGACGAGGTGAAGCGCTTCGGCCGGTCCGAGACGGAGTTCCTCACGCGCATGCTCGAGGAGGACACGAAGAACTACCACGTCTGGAGCTACAGGCAGTACCTGGTGCGCAAGCTGGGGCTGTGGACCATGCAGGAGCTGCTGTCGACGCAGAACTGGATCGAGGAGGACGTGCGCAACAACTCGGCGTGGTCGCACCGCTTCTTCCTCGTCTTCAGCGACCCGGCCAACTCTACCGAGGGTTCGCACGCGACGGAGCACGATCCCAAGGTCCCCGCCGACGTGGTCGATCGCGAGATCCGCTACGCCGAGGAGAAGACGCTGCTGGCTCCGCAGAATCAGGCGGCGTGGAATTACCTGCGCGGCGTGCTGGTCAAGGGTGGGCGCAAGCTCGAGACGGCCGAGGCGTTTGCGGGGCAGTTTGTCAAGAATGTGGGCGCGGAGGAGGGCAAGGAAGAGGTGCGCAGCAGCCACGCGCTGGATTTCTTGGCCGAGGTGTTGGCGGAGAAGGGACAGAAGGAGGAGGCGGCCAAGTATCTGGACCGGTTGGCGGCCAAGTGGGATCCCGTGAGGGCGGGATACTGGAAGTACCGCAAGCAGCAGCTTGGGGCGTGAGTTTTGCATTGCTATCGACGTTGCTGTTTCTATGAATCGAGACACCCCTTCTTCATCGTGCGCAGATGCATCAAGTCGGGTCTCCTATATATCCCATCGAGCTTCTGCTTGCCGTCCCGTGCCGAATTCATTCTATCTCCGAGTCAGCAGGCGAATGAAGAAGAGGATACAAGACAAGACTCACCTCTATTGTGTGTGGTATAGGACACGTCGTGTTGCTCGTCATCGTCGCTCTCGCTTTAATAATCCCAAAAGGCCCATTCCATGCTCTCCCCCATCTCACAGCGCGCGAAAGTTCTGGCTCATAATCAACCACCGCCTCGCGCCCCTCGGCGGATTCTTGCCAAACGTATCCCAATTCGGCACCAGCACAAACACCTCGTTGAACGTCTTTGCGGGAGCATCCCGGCCCCTGCCGTAGTGTACCCTGCCCGTGACCTGCGCCATGATGCTGCACTTTGCGCCCTTTTCGTCGCCCTTTTGCAGGTGCTCGGGGCAACCCAGGGAGAAATCGCTATTGACGACGTGGGCGTCGAGGGACTCGACCTCGTGGTGAACGTCGGCGCCCTGCGCGTCGAGGAGGGCGACGTACTCGTCGGGACCGCCTTGGAGGACGGCGCCGTTGATGGAGATGTCGGGCGGGGAAGGGTATTTAGAGCAGCAGGTTGTGTAGAACTTTTCGAGGGTGCCGCCTTGTTTGCGGCGGTTGAGGGCTTCGTAATAGGCGTCTGCGAAGTTTGAGGCCGCTGGGGATGCATGAGTTAGTTCGATCATGAGGTAGAGAGTGAGTCTGGTGGGAGGGGATGGAAATGGAAGTACCGTCGGCCGAGGCCCTCATTTCTGTTTCGCGAGAGGGGAGAGACATGATTGCGGTGCTCTGTTCGTGTGCTTCAGCCCGAGTTGTATTGAGGGAAATCGTATTGTGTACTCGGCGGTGTTGTCGCAACAATGCAAGCGTTGAAAGGACTACCTTAGGGAAGAAGTTTGGCGGGGCATTACAGGGATCGCGCGCCGATAAGAGCTCTGGGCCGTTATCGACAAACACAATCCGTACGGTGCATTCGGAGCGAGGAACATTGCAAGCTTTCGATTCATCACGCAACCTGCCCATCCCAGCTGTTGACGGCACGCTTCTTAAGCGGTAAGCTCGACAACAACAGGTTCGATGAGACCAGCAAGGCTATCGACAGCTTCGGCGTTCCGCAATCGCCGCCATGTCCCGGCGATGCGATCGCCCTGGGTCTGCCCCTCGTGCACCCACGGGCAGACATCGCGACGCCGTTTCGCGAGCTCCGACAGCAAGGGCGACAAGCCGTACTACGTGACGACGCCCATCTTTTACGTCAATGCATGTATGTGCAATTCCCATGGGGCCCTCTATCAGGCCCAAGCTAACATTTCGACCCAACAGCACCACACGTCGGCCACATGTACTCGATGCTCCTGGCAGACGTCCTGAAGCGCTGGCAAGTCCTCAAGGGCCGGACCGCGATCCTCTGCACCGGCACGGACGAGCACGGTTCCAAGGTCCAACAGGCGGCGGCGAAGCAAGGCGTGCCGGCCAAGGAGTTCTGCGACACGACGGCCGAGAAGTTTCGGGACTTGGCAAAGGCCATCGGCATGGCCAACGACCACTTCATCCGCACGACGGACCAGGACCACAAGGAGGCGGTGCAGCACTTTTGGCACCTGCTCAAGGAAAAGGGATACATTTACGAATCCAAGCACGAAGGGTGGTACTGCGTCAGCGACGAGTGTTTCTACGGCAACAACGAGATTGAGCGGCGGGTCGAGCCGCAGACGGGGCGGACCATCATGGCGGCCGTGGAGTCCGGGAACGAGGTGGAGTGGATCGAGGAGAAGAACTACCACTTCCGCATGACGGCGCTCAAGGAGAGGCTGCTCGCGTTCTACGAGGCGAACCCGGACTGGATCGTGCCGAGGGCGCGGCAGAAGGAGGTGGTGGCGTGGGTGTCCAACAACCTCGAGGACCTGTCCATCTCGCGGCCGGTGCAGAGGCTGGACTGGGGCGTGCGGGTGCCGGACGACCCGACGCAGACGATTTACGTATGGGTCGACGCGCTCATCAACTACCTTACGAAAGCCGGTTTTCCCGGTTGGCGGCCCGGCCGCGAGCACGAGGGGGGGTGGCCGGCGGACGTGCAGGTCATTGGCAAGGATATCGTGCGGTTCCACGGGGTGTACTGGCCGGCGCTGCTGATGGCGCTGGACCTGCCGCTGCCGAAGCAGCTTCTCAGCCACGCGCACTGGACGCTGGGGAAGAAGAAGATGTCCAAGTCGCTGGGCAACGTGGTGAACCCGTTCTTCGCGATCGACCGGTGGGGTCTGGACACGATGCGGTACTTTATGATGCGGGACGGCGGGATCGAGAAGGATGCGGATTATGAGAACTCGCTCGTCATTGCCAGGTATCAGAAGGACTTGCAGTCGACGGTGGGGAACCTGATGAACCGCGTGGCTAAGAGCAAGAAGTGGAAGCTTCGGGATTCGGTGGTGTGGGCGGCGGAGAAGAGCAGCGCGCCGACGAGTCACAAGGTTGAAGGCAGCGAGGAGTTGAAGGCGTTGGTTGACGGGATGGCGCAGTCCATGGCGCAGCACATGGACGAGCTGAATCCCAACGCCGCCATCCGGAGCGTTCTCCACGTTCTGTCCGAGGTATGGACAAGCCTACATGC